TGAAGTTAGCTATGAGGTCTGTGGGAACCGTTGGAGACGGGGCAGATAAGCTGGTTGGGTGACAGGTGGCCTGCACTATTGCATATACCTTTGAATTTTCTTTCTTTTCTATTTTTGGTACTGGGGATTGAACTCCCGACCCCGTGCTTGCAAGGCAGGCGCTTGTGCCACCGAGCTAAATCCCCAGCCCCTACTCTGTCTATTTTTAACCTTTGCTGTGCGAGAGGTTTTAATTTGATTTAATCTCATTTGTTGATTCTTGATGTAATTTCTTGTACAACTGAGGTTCTGTTCAGAAAGTTCTTGCTATACCTATATCAAGAGTTTTACCTATTTTGTAGTAGAAATGTCTAGATCTTTGAGCCACTTTGATTCTCACTTAGTACATGGAGAGCTATGGGTCCTGTCTGATGTTGCCTTCTGTGACTGTCTCTCACCCAGTCACTGTGGGAGGGTGACACTGGGAATCCTGGAGTAAAGTTAGCCGTTGAGTCCCAGATTTAAGTAATCAGCCCCTTCATGAAATGGTGCCCGAACAGGCTTTGGTGATATGGTGGTTGCTCAAGCCTGAATCCCCCTCCAGCTGTTGCCTGCTGTGTGGAAGCAGTCCCCTTGGGGCAAAACCCCACACTGTTTTTGTGGTTCACAAAGGTTGTCAGTTGGGCTGGGGATGTGACAGTGTTAGAGTTCTGGCCTGGCATGCACAAGGCCCAGCGTTTGATCCTTAGTACTACAAAATCAAAACCAAACCAAACCAAAACGAACAAAAAGCAACATCCCCACAAAAAGAGAAAAAAAAAAAAAAAAAAAAACCCAACAACCCCAAAATCAAAGACTGTTGGCTCTGCTGTTTTTCCTTGGATTTCCTGGCCTTGGCTGCTAACTTGGCTTCTAGGGAGCCCAGTTCAAGCTCTGAGAGCTGGGGAGAAAGTCCAAATTGTTTTCCTCCTTGTCTCTGTGTTAGTGTTTCCAACTTCTCTGTGCTTATTTTTTTCTTTTTCCTGGTGATCTGCTTCTCTTTTTTTCTTTTTGACGAATTATTATTTTTCAGTGTCTATATGCTGGGTCTCAGAGAGGGTAAATTTTGCTCCTGATCGCAGCTCTGCCATTTTTTTCCCCTCCCTGCCAGACAGTCTATATATTGCTGCTCCTTTTTTTGGTCTCTCTATGCTCACTTAAAAACAAACAAAACCTTGCCTATTTCCTACTCCATGCTGTCATCATTTCTTTTATCAATGGATATATTTTGGAGGACATTGAGAGGAGGGTTGAACTCACACTAGGGCTGTTGTGGATTCTTTGAATCCCAGAAGCAGGCTGCTCTGTGTGTCAGGGGTTCCCAAAACCAGCACAGGTTTGTGGACTCTGTAGGAGGCCTCACCACATAACCACAGGCATAGGTAGGATTTATTACAGCGACAGGATACAATGTTCCATCAGCGAAGGGAAAAGTACATGGAACAGTCTGCAGGGAATCAGATGCAAGCTTCCCAGAGTCCTCTGCCGTAGAATAGTCACACAGCGCGTACCTTCTTCTGCAACTGACTGTGACAACTTTACGAAATGGTGTCTGTCAGGAAAGCTCATTAGAGATACGGTGTCTGGGGTTTTTATTAGGGGCTGGTCACTAGACACCTCTGCCTAGCATGTGGGCGGGTTCCAAACTGGTTGAAGGAAGTTAGCTTCATCTTAAACTACAACGTGCATTGCACAGAAGTTTAGGCATGTGGATCACTCTCACCATGGCTGAAACAATGAGAGCCTCTTGGACTTCAGCTACCAGGGGCACTGGGGATTTAGCTCAGCCGAGTAAGTGCCTGCCTTGCAAGCTCGGGGTTGTGACTTCGATCCCCGGTACTGATAAAAAATAAAAAAAAGAAATTCAGCTGCCATCAGGGGCAATCTTGTAAACAGGCCTTTTAGTGGGCCTGCTGGGTCAGTCCTTCTCTGCACATTGTCCTTCGTGTGTTTTTATAGGGTCAGGAAGTAGCTTCAGAAATCAGAAGTGGTGTGGGTGTAGGTAAGAGGGGAGGTGACAGGGTGAGATTTTGTGCTCCCTTCTCATCACTTTTTTCTTTAATAAATTGAGGATTCTGTGGAAGGTTTTATATGTAGGAAGGGTTTTAGTATTAAAGTAGAGTTAGAAAGCCTCTCATTTAAACAGTGAGGTGTTAACCTTATAAGAGATTATCAGTTTGGACTGAGCTTCTGCAGTAGGATCCGTCAGATCAAACCAGAATGGGATGACGCACGCTACAGTTCCACATCATCAAGTCAGAAGTGTGTCTCTGACCTTCCTACAATCAAGAGATTTGGCCAAATTCCTGAACAGGCAGTTCTAGCCAGCATAACAAGGAAGTCTCTGGCCTTTGTGTGGACAGTAACTGGGAAACAACTGGTCCACTGTTTGTTTTGTTTTTGCTTTCCTCAATCCTTCTTGATATGGGCAGAAAAATGATGGACTCCAAAAAATTAAAAAAGTGCTTTATTAGCTGAGCTCAGCGGCAACACTGTCCCAGAAAACAGCCAGGGAAGTGCCTGCCGAGTGAGGAGCAGCAAACCGAAAGGCCAGTGAGGGGTCAGCGTCTTAGGATCAGTTTGTCTCCAAAAAAGGTCATTTGGTTTAGTTTTACAGGAACCAGGGAGGCAGGGAGGGGGTTACATGGTGGGTACGTAACAGGGCAACTTACCTGGCAATTATACAAGTTTTACAGAAGAGAACAAGTTATAATAAGTACAGCACGTTTTGGGTTCTTGAGCTTGTAACACTTCTGGGTCTGTGGAAAGAGCCTCTGCTCAGCTTATCGGGATGCCCGTTTTATTTTATGGAATAAATACTTGTCCAGTTTTAAAGTCTCAAAGAAAGCCAAGCAAGATCTTTTGTTGTTACTGTTGTTAGTTTGTTTTCATTTTTTATTTTGAGACAGGGTCTTGTGGAGCCTCAGTGGCATCCCCTGCCCCAGTGATTGTGATATAGAGGAATAAACTCCCAACCTACTATGTCTGGTGCGCGTTTGTGTTCTCTAAAATTGAAGAATGAATTTTAGGAACAACGGAGGTTAGAATATATTTATTGAGAGAAAGAAAGCTTCTGTCAGAGAGAGACAGAAGGGATCCCGAGCGGGTTGCCTAGGACGCTGTCTTTTCCAGGGGCTTTTTAGAGTAAAATCATGGGGTGACATGGGTTCAAGGGGAAAAGTGGGAACTCACAAAGCAGAAGGGCGTAAGGTGGGACAGAACTATGGTTAGCCAGTAAGATTAATTGTTCAGGTAAAATTGATTAAGTTGGGGACAAATGGGAAAGCGAGTTGTGTAGAAAGCAGGCATTCTTAGAGAGCAGTGACTCTTCCATTGGGGTTTGGATGGTGACTCCTGGCTTCCTCAGGGTGATAGGGAACTATTCAGAACATCAGTCCTTAGGATATGGATGCATTTGCTTGGACTTTTGTTTTGAGGCTTGTCCCACAGCAGGAGGTGTCTGTCTCCCCCACAGTTGCAAGGTATCTGGGCTTTTGCAACTGGCTCCTTCAAGGACCTAGCCCTGTCTCACTGCCTATAATATTTCTAACTAAGCTGCCTGTAACAGTTGGACTTCAGGCATGTGCCATCACACCTGGTATCACAAGATCTTTAGATTTATTTGAATTTTGTCTTTTGACACAAGGACACTGTTGATGAGGTCACATTTCTCCTTGTAGATGATACTGTAGAGATTGTGATGTGGTACACGTGAGACAGTGAAGGTAATTCAAGTCAGCGAGTCTACTGTGATAGCTCAGGTGAGGGCTAAGGAGACCCAAGCTGGGTGGACAGCAAGAAGACGAGGAGGAGGGAACGGATACAGGCTTGAGTAACACCGATGATGCTTGATTGCCTGAGAAACTTGTTGAATGGCAGGGAAATGGTGTAGGATGGTGGAAAGAAATTCCTGTTACCCTGAAATTTCTTATAGGATGACTCCAGAAAATTAAAGAACCGGGCTTTTTCAACCTGGTTCACTACACTTTCACTTCAGCTGTGGGGAAGGGAGCAAAGGTTGCTTGTATTTATTACTGCTTCTGAAAAATAAGCGAGGGGGCTGGAGGAATAACTCAGTGGAAGAATTTATGTTTAGCATGGGAGGACCTGGGTTCCACCCCTAGCACATAAACCCTGACTTATACAATATTTCAGTGTTGTATTGTTTCATGTAGAGAATAAAGGGTCAGTAGGAAAACCTTTGCGATTGTAAGACTCAAAGCACCGAAGAGCTAGGTCTAACTCAAACAAGCACCACCCTACCTACCTCTGACTGGGAAACGGTGGCTTAGACGCAAAACAGCGACCCTGTAGTGGCTCAGGCTTTCTAGAAGAGGGGTTATAATTATAGCTCATAGTTTTAGAATATTTCTTTTTGTTTTTTGTCGGTACTGGGGATTGAACTCACGACTGCTTGCTTGCAAGGCAGGTGCTTATGCCACTGAGCTAAATCCCCAGCACTAGAATATTTCTTTTTTAAATGAGCCATTAGTAATACATTTACTGGAGTTGGTACAGTAGTTTAGTGGCAAAGTGGTTAATGTATGCACAAAGCCTTTGATTCAATCCCCAGCAGAGGGGAGAAAAAATATATAATACATATATATTCATACAAATATGTATATATGCTTATGTATAAAATTTATTTAATATTATTTTAATCAAAATGACATGATTAGGGCCAGGCATGGTAGCACGTGACTGTAATCCTAGCACTCAGCAGGCTGAGGCAGGAGAATTACCGTGAGTTCAAGGACAGCCTGTACTACATGGTGAGTTCAAGGCCAGCCTGAATTACATAGTGAGACTCTGTTTCAAAAACCAAACAAAACCCCACCAAAACCAAAGCAAAAAAGTGACATTTATAAAATCTACCAAAATAAATACAGTTCTGTTTAAAAGTTTTAAATGCCTTGTGTGGAACACTGTGAACTATCTTTATGTGAGAAAGTCCAAAACTTTATGTATGTTTTTGTTTGTAGCCTACACAGTGCAGACACCTGACAGGGTGACCCGAACTGCTGCTTCCGAGGCTTATTTGAAAGCTTTGACTGTTTGCCATGGACCGCTGGACCACTATGACTTTCTGATCAAAGCTCATGAGCTGAAGGACGATGAACGCCAAAGAAGAGTCATACAGTGCTTGCAGAAATTGCACGAGGACCTTAAAAAATACAGTATAGAGGCAGAAGATTTCCTTTCGAAGGTAAGGTTTGTGTGGCCCCAAGCTTTCCCCTTCCCCTAGCTTAAGCCTAGTCGTTCCGTGTGCAGTAGACAAGAGGATTCTGCTTTCCTCCTCCTCCTCTCTCTGCTTGCCTGGTTTCTCTAGGGTTGAACGAGAGGGATGAAAAAGTATAGAGCAAAACAGCAATCCCAGTTGCCCGGCCAGCTGGGGTTTTTGTGTGCTACATGCTGACTGCTGGCTCATTCCGAGGAGCATTATGGGTTCCTTAAGACTCTCAGGGGAACCTTGGCACTGCTGCATTCCTGACCGCTCTTGGAGGAAAGCGCTCACACCCCTGCGTTGTGCTGGGTCCCCCTGCCTTTGCACTTAGCCTCCTTATGTTGGCTCCTCTCGGGACAGCTGTCCCCGGATCACCTCTCCTGATGTCCACCGAGACCACAGGAAGCATGGCATTTGGTTTTCTACAATCCCTACCACGTGGGTAGCTTTAGTCAGCCTCCTGCCTTTGGATTTCTGCAGACAGGAAGCAGGCATCACATTGTTTTTTGCCTTGTACCCGTCCTATGTCTAAGGATGCGTGTCAGACTCTTCCATGAGCTCTTCCTCCACACTCTGCCTTGATGGTGGCCTGTGGAATTCCTCACCTAAGTATTGGGCTGAGGGAGGGGAAGGCGTGGGGATCACATCTCACAGGCAGCTGCAACCTCCTTGGGTGCCCCACCCCACCCCAATATGGGGCATGAGATAAAGCCAAGCAGCTCTGCCCTGTTCAGTCGCTCCTGTCCTGCTCTGGTTTAGACTTGTTTTTGCCTACTTTTTTTTTTTTTTTTTGAGTAATTGCTGCATAGATGTGTTTACTCTCTAGTGTGTGTAGGAAACTGGCCTCTTTATTTTCAGCTTTAAAGCTTTTGCTGAAATTCTGTCACAGGAAGAAAACTGTCATTCTCTTATACATCGTACCACAGGAGCAGTCTCATCACTGATGTCATTTTTAAATTATGAAGGATGGCAGTGGTAACATGACTTAAAATATGGTTCAACCTAAGAAACCGACTTTTCCTCAGGGGACTGGCCGCCAGTCTTTCCCCTACTCCCCAATCCGAATATTCTTTTGTTGTAAGCTCTTTAGAAAAATGGACTGTATAACATGTATTAGCTGTATTTTATTTGAAACTCTAATGAAAGTAATTTTACATTTTTTTTTTTTTTTTTATCAGTACTAGGGCTCGAACTCACGACTGCCTGCTTGCAAGGCAGGTGCTTATGCAGCTGAGCTAAATCCCCAGCCCAGTAATTTTACATTTTAAGAAGGACATGAGGGCAAGCCCCACCCCCCCCGAAAAAGAGAATGATTTCAAAGTATAATTAAGTAATGCTATTTTTATATAAAGTAAGAGGCTGCCCTCGTGTTAACATCTTTTGGTTAGAGAAATAGAGCTTCTTTTAGGATGAAGTGGAGATTTAGAACAGTGTGTGAACAGCGAGGAAGAGGCCGTGCAGGTGTAGGCGGCCTCACAGGAGGTGCTGTTGCGTTCCCTAACCCACTGTGCTGGTCTGTCGGGGCTGCTCTAATGAGATAACAAATGCTGATGCCCTGTTACCGCAGAAGGAAACCAGGCTCTCAGCCGTGCAGGAATGGAAGGTCTTTATCTGTAGAATTCTTCTTTTTTTTTTTTTGTCTTTTTCCTTTTTATTGGTACCAAGGATTGAACTCACAACTGCCTGCTTGCAAGGCAGGCGCTTATGCCGCTGAGCTAAATCCCCAGCCCCTTCTGTAGAATTCTTAATTCTGGTATACAAAATTTATCATTTTATGGACTTCGATTTTGTCTTTATTGCAGATTTTAACTATTCATTATGGTAGACTTGGGTTTTCCTCATTGGAGGCCCAAGATACTTTCTGTAAACCTGTGCTATCATATTAAAATGAAGTGTGCCTCCTTTACAAAGTGCCAGGTTTATTAACCCTTGAGAAAAAAATTGGTAGCAGTGTATCGGGCTACATTGACTTATCTGTGTAACACTGTTTTCTTGAACAAATATTTGAAGAAGTTATGAGTGTGCTGTCTGAGCAACAAACTATGAAGAATGAGCATTTGTGGACTCTTCACTTTTGTTATCAAATAAAACTTACAACCAGGTTCATGCGACACCTTTAATGTATGCATAATTGTTATTGTGCCAGGAGGTAATTAGGCATAAATGGTAAGTAGTTCATGTAAATCACTATAATTAGAATTACTTTTACACAGCAGAATCAAGCATTTCTAGAGTCAGGGAGAGAGAGAATTAAATCAAATATGGAGCTACTCTGCAAATCTCAGTCTCCATTCATCAGAGGTATGAAGGAAAGCAGGCTTTTTCACTTCTTGGGAGGAGACATCATGGCAAATTTGTGGCAAAGTTGGGTTGGAAGTGCCATATAACGATGTTCTGGCCAGTAATGGACACATGTCCAGCAGTGGTCCATAATATCGTAAAGGAACTCAGACGTTCCTATCGCATGGCGTGGTAATACAGTAAGCAAACCTACTGTACTGCAATCATATAAAAGCAGCATTATGTACAGTACGTACTACATGATCATCAAAATAAATCCTTATTACTGACATATGTATTCACTCTACTATACTATATGTATTTCTCTGTATGTGTTGCTGGGGGTTGAACTCAGGGCTTCACATGGTTAGGCAAGTTTTGTACCACTGAGCTATTTTATGAAGCTATTTTATTTTATTTTAAGGCAGTCTTGCTAAATGGCTCAGGCTGGTCTCAGACTTGCAGTCTCCCAAGTAGCTGGGTTTATAGACCGGTACTATTGTGCCTCACAATACCAAATTTTCTATTGTTATTTTAGAGTGCTGTCTTAGTTACTTTTTATTCATCGCTGAGACAAAATTCCTGGTGCACCAAGTTGGGAAAGGAAAGGTTTATTTTTATAGTTTTTGGAGGTTTCAGTCCATAGTCAGTTGGCTCCAAGGCAGAGTGGCATGGCGGGGCCGCAGTTCATGGTGGCTGCAAACAGCAAGGCAGAAACCCGCGAGAGTAAGACATACCTTTTTCCTGCCATTACATCACATCCTGGCTCCACCCCTAGGCTGGTGTAGCACTCACACCCCCAATCCAAGCACTAGACAATGAACCAATCACAGATGCATAATGCAAATGCATGAGGCCTGGGGGCCACCAACATAAACCATGACAAATGCCTTTTTACTTAGAAGAAACCACTGCTTACCATAGAATAGAATGTGCTGTATTACACTGGCAGCCGCAGCCTCATATATCCGTGTTTGCTGCAACTCTTGATTACACTGAGGGGCTGCATTGAGTAATTGACCTATACCATTGAGGTTTGTGTAAATATGCTGGGTGTAGTCACACAACAGAAAATCATGGAATGATGCATTTCTTAGAATGTATCCCTTAAGCAGGGCATAACTGCATACTGGTTTTGTTTTTGTTTGTTTGCCTGGTTTTTTTGTGGTATGGGAATTGAACCCAGGCCTTGCGTATATTAGGTGAGTAGTGCTATCACTGAACTATTTCCCTAGCTCTAAAGTACATACATAGATTTTGGTTTTTTTTTGACTTTTTCCTTTTTATCGGTACTAGGGATCAAACTCACCACTGCCTGCTTGCAAGGCAGGCGCTTATGCTGCTGAGCTAAATCCCCGGCCCCCCATACATAGATATTTAAAATGTATTCATTACTTTAGCATTTGTTTTATAATTAAAATAAATTTAAATAGTACATAGAGACATAGAGAAATAGCTTTGCCATTTCAAATGTGTCAAGTTTCTGAATTTGTCATATAATGTCAGTATTATATAGATAATTTCAGTATTAGTTCTGTAAAAATAAGCTGTTAATCATACTAAATGCAGTACTTATTATCTATATAATATATATATAAATGTACTCAATATGAATATTTCAAGAAAATTTATTTATAAAAACTTCTGAGAGTTATTATTTTATAAAGCTTCTGTTTTGGAAAAAGCGTATCTCTGAAATAATACCTACTTTTGAAACTAAAATTGAAAATTCAGTAGAATTTTTTTTTATCACCTGGATTAGTGTTTGGTACCTTTTCATGGACTGTAATTCCTTTCTAAACTATTCATTCATATATGGCATCCTTTTTGCTAGCTTAGCTAGCTTTTTTTTTTATTAGTGTCTTTTCTAACTTTACTAATCATTTTACTTAAGTCCATTATCTGAACAACTATTTGTAAAACAACAATATGTAAACATGAACTAGTGATTTCTTACTGTTTATTTTTTTTCTCTGAATGTATGTATTATTTCTACCTATTTTCTGTTTTGTTTAGTCTTTCTTTAAATAAAATTTAAGAAAAAAAAAGGCCCATTATCTCTTCAGTTATATCACCTTTGGGCTCATGGAGCACCTTACTGAGCTGGTTTGTTTGTTCCCCTTTTATCAATTTGTGTAATTCAACTATTTGGTTTGGAATTTCCTTCCCATTAATTTCCCATGAGTCAGCTTTCAGCGAGTTGGGTGTTTTTGGAGAATTTGGCTGCCTTATTTTCTCATTTTACTATTTTTTTTGGGGGGGGGTGGGATTAGCAGGTTGATTATAGTGGAAGGATTTTGTTGTGTGTGGTCTGGGCATGGCTAACTGTAGACCTTTGTCTCTGTCCCAATATCCAAACAATTTCATTAATTTGGGGATGGAGGGCACAGCATAATTGACCGAGCAGCTAGTTTTCTGGAAATGAACCACAATAATGTCAATGTCTCAAGGGCAAACCAGATATTGGAACACAGTAAAAAGCAATTTATAGCCACAATTAAGCCACCCTGGAAACAACAATGAAATTAGCAGCAATAATAGGGTTAAAAATAATCTGGATATTAATATGCCCTAAGTACCAATAAAAAAATAGAAAAGCAAACTAAATATTGACATACAATAAGTATCTACTAAATACAATAATTATACCACCATTAACAATAGAAAAGAATTCAACAAAACAGAGTCAACTAAAATACCTA